CCGTGGTGATCATTGATCACCAAAAAAGGGAAAAAGAATGTTCTCAGGCACCTATTTACTGAGCAGAGATTTCTGTCCAAAGTGACCGAAATTAAGTTTTCCAGGCTCATCCATAAGTTATCTGAAATATGGACTGCTCCAAGTCTTTCCAAATAACTGAAGTGTGTCTGTGTAGCAAAGATGGCTAAGCCGAGAGGCTGGCTTTAGGTGCTGCAGGTATGTGGAGGAGGTGACCTTGGACTGGCCAGGTACACCCAGGGTCATTGAGATTCTGCACACAGTAGGTGCCCAGTTGTTGAACAGACAAGTGTGCCTGCCTTACCTGTAGCAGGGAACTTGTGAGGACTCCTGATAAGGGGGGCTGCTGGCAAGGATGACTGGGGTGAACTTAGTGGATCCTCTCTTGAAGCCCTGGGGGGCCCTCAAGGCTATGCTGTTGGAGGTGTCTATTCAGGGGCAGGCTGGGAGGGAGGCTGGGTGGAGAGCAGCGGCTTGGACCACAGCCTTCTGTCGAGGCTGCTTCTGGTGAGAGAAGCTGCCAGCGAGGAAAGAAAGCCTTGAGTCTCGGAGTTGGAAGGAACCTATACAGTGTCAGCTGCTCGGAACGCCTCTGCTAAGAGACTGCCTAACCTCTGATTGCATGCTTCCACTGGCAGAGAACTCACTACCTTTTATCTCTGAAGACGGCCTGTTAGAAATGATTTCTTCTACTAGGCTGACTAGGCTGAAGTCCTAGTAGACAGGACCAGGTGGGTCCTGTCTGATCTTCTGGACAGTCACCATCACTTAGATGCAGAGAGTGACCCCTAGTATCTTCCCTCCAGGCCTCAAAGATCCAGTACAATCCTCATTTCATCTCCATCTTAGTCCTTCTCTCCTGATTGTGTGCATTTGTCTTTAGTTCGTTTAAGATTTGGTATTTAGGATGGGGCAGAAAGTTCCAGGTACCTGATTGTCTAGGGCAGGGCAGAGAAAGAAAGAGAGACCACCCCTTCCCTCATACTCGATGCTCCTCCCTGGCCTGGAGGGCCTGGTCTGTGGGTGCCTTGGTCACTTACATGTGTCCTCAGGGCCTAGCACAGAGGCTGTAGTGAGTATTTAGGGAGGTACAGTTATTATGTTTCCTGGGGCCTCCCCAGGGGACCAGAACTGGAACCGTGGTCAGAAGGGTGGTCAAGTGACAATGCTGCTGGCTGAGAACCCATTCCTAATTGTTTTTGCTCTTTTTATGTCCAGGGCCAGCGTGTCTTTGTGTTTGTTCCTGGGGTGTGCGTTTTCGTTAAGTTGTCCATTTTAAACACCCCTGCTGGGGTGTTGGGGGTGGTGTTTAACATGGCTCTGTCATTTCCTAGGAAGGAATTGATTTGTCCAGATGGCCCAGTGGGTCTGGTGTGGGCTGGTTGAGTCATCCTGAGGAGATTCTGTCTTATCTCCCTTCTCTGAGAATGTATGTTATTGACTCACTAATGACTCTTTAAAGGAAACCGTCAACACGTTGGTTACTCTGCAGACTGGCTGGCCCCAGAGCCCTGTTGAAAGGTCAAGAATCTTGAGTTGAGAGGTGGATGAAATTTGACACGTCTGACCAGTTGAATGCAGAGCCTGACCACAGGATGCAGGAGGGTGCTGATGTCTGTGATGCAGGAAAGGATGTGAGCTCAGACACCAGGCTCTTCTCAGGAGTGGATTACAGGACTCCCCAGCTTGGAAGGGCGGTTCCACGTGGAGGGGGCTGGTGAATTTTGGCCCCTGTGGGTTCTCTGGAGGGTTTTATCTTTGGGAACTGGAAGTCTGATCACCTTGGGGAGGGTGTAGCTTCCCAGCCTGTGAGCGGGCTGAGCTCCTGAGCACAGAGCTGAGTGTAGGCTTACCTGCCTGCTCTGCCTCTCCGCCTCACCTGGAGCTGTGGCCTGTGTCCATCCTTTTATGCCTTCTGTGATGACTGAGTTTGTGTAAGTGCTGGGGCCTCTGGTAGTTGTTGGGGGGAGGCCTCAGTTCCTACCTGCAAGGAGTTTACAGTCTCGAAGAAACAATACACACCATGGACTGCTCAGTGTGAGCTCAGCCTGATCTAAGCCCCGCCCCCCCCCTCATAGCAGCCCCTTGAGGAAGGGGCTCTTGTTATCCCCAGCTTAGAGATGAGGAAACTGAGGCACGCAGTGCTTAAGAAACTTGCCTGAGACCACACAGCTCCTAAATGGTGGGACCATGACCCAGGCAGGCTGCCTCCACGGTTCATGGCTTTCCTGCTACTTTATGCTGCTGCTTGTACTGGAAGATCAGATGAGCAGAGAGATCGTGACCTGGGAGGTGAGCATGGCAACAGGACAGAGGAGGCCACCGAGGAGGACGCGGCATCTCAGCTGGGTCTGCCTCTGGGAGTTAGCGGAGGGATCAGAATGTGCCCCTGTGGGGAAGCGTCAGAGATCATGGCATATCCTGGGAACTCCCAAAGTGGGTTTATGTGCATTCCATTACTGTGGCTGTGTAAATAACTACCCCGAAACAGACTGGCGTAGAACAACCATTTATTTGTTCACGGATAGTGCGGGTCGGGCATTTGGACAGGGCATGGTGGGGGTTTGTCCTGCTCTGTGGTACCTGGGTCTCAGCTGTGGAGCCCCAAGGCTGGAGAGGAATCACCTGAGGTCTGGTTCATTCTCGTGTCTGGCGATTGATGCTGGTGTCACCAGGGGGCCTCAGTTCCTCCCACACGAGCCTCTCCCTGTGGGCCCAGCACGTGAGCTAGCTTGGGCTTCTTCACATGATGACGGGGTCCAAGGGCAGGTGTCTCTGGAGGGAGAACCAGAGGACAGAGGCCTCTTTTAACCCCAACATCAGAAGTCACAAAGTGTCACTTCCGCTGTAGTCACCCTGGTCCACTCAAATGCAAGGGAGAGAACGAGGCCCCATCTCCCAGTGGAGCAGTGTCAGAAGGTGTGGCCATCTTTGGAAAATACCATCGGCCACAATATAGCCGGACCCAGCTTGGGATGGACACATCCATTCTACTTGGCCTTGTGTGGTTTTGGACAAAGGTCATTAGCAGGCTGACCCTGGATTTGGTTTGATGTAGCCTCCCCTCCCCCCAGATACCTTACAGTTCTTGTCAGTGATGAGTGATCTGGAGCTCAGTGCAGATGCCTGCAGTCACCAGACATCCTGAGCTGCTTCTGTGCCAGGCAGGGTCCTCAGTCCTGTCAGGGGACACTGGCCCTGAGGAAGGCAGGCAGACAAACAGCAATGGCCACGACAGCACTGAGAGAGCACTGCTGAGCGCCAACCACTCTTCCGAACACTGCATACTCACTTCAACCTCACAGGCACCTGTCGAGAAAGGTACTCCCGTTATCCCCCATCACCCCTCATTTAACAGATGAGGGAACTGAGGCACAGAGCTGCTCACAGCTAACCTGTGGCAGACCCAAGTGACACACCCTCTGCCAAATGTCTGTAGGACAGTCATAGCACAGTGTGGTAGGGGCTACGTACAGGTCATGTTTATAGAGGGTGCTGCCTGAGGGCGCCCCCCGCCCCCAGCTGGACACTGTCGCCCTTAATAGGTTAGAGCAACTTAGTGGTGTAAGCACCCCAAATATGCTTTTCCCAAATTGCTTTTCCAACTTTGGCCTAAAACTATTGCCAGGATTTTATGTGCTGCAGTGGAAGTTCTACACGGCGTCCGCACATCAGCAGGTCCCTGGGTGAGAAAGCACTGTCCCAGGGTGGTGGCCAGGGACTTCTCAGGGCGGCTGGTGTCTGACGGGTTTTATGGGTGTTAGGAAAGCAGAGGGAGGGACGCCCCAGGTAGTGGGAACAGCCAGTGCAAAAGCCTGGCGGGTACAACAACCAGCCGAGGGAGAGAGGGACATCTGGTGCTGGCTGGGAAGGGATGTGAGGGGCCGGCAGGCACCGAGTCACCCGTCCAGAGACCTTGAGTGCCAAGCCGCGGGGCTGCAGCAGGGAGCCTGGAAGGCCTTTGTGCTGCAAGGGGTGGCAGGATCAGATGAGAAGGAGCCCTCCCTGAGTTCATTTTGACCTTCCCCTTGGCCTTGCGCCTTCACTGGACACCTTTCCTCGCTCCCCTGCTCTTGGCCCCTGATCTTCCTCCTGCACCCTTCCCGTATGGTGTCTTCTCCTCCACTCTCTTATTAACTCCTCTCCACACTCTCTTTCCTCGCTCCTGGCACATCCCTTTGCTTCTAGCACCCTGCAGGCAGTCACCTTCATTTTGCTGACCCCACAGAAATCCTCTGACCAGGAGACCGATTACAGTGTATTGCTATATTTTTAGCATAGCGTTTACAACATAGCTCTCTGCTGTTGGTCGCTGTTGCAAATTCTGTGTGTCTTTGTGGGGATGTCCAGCCGCGTCCTGATTTAGAATGAGCTGGCTCAGCTTCGCAAGACATTTGTGCTATATTTCAAGCACCTCTTATATGTTTGGTGATAGATTATAGTGCTGTGAAGATTAAGGAGTACTGCAGGTTGTTGCATGGATAAAGGTTCTGCTGTCTTACTCGTGCTTAGAATTTCTCCTGAGATCCCTCTGGAGAATGTTTTATTGTTATTTTGTTGCACAAGTGTGATCCATAATACAAACAGAAAAGTGCATAAAGCTAATAAGTAATTATAAAGCCAATATCCTTGAACCCTGGAGTGTGCACACTGCCAGCTCCCCCAAGCTCCCACTGTGCCCAGCCTGACTTCCCAGCCTCCGGCCTCCATACACAATCCTGAATTTTGTGGTCACCACTTTCTTGCTTTTCTTTACGGAGTGACCAGTAGTGTGCGTAGGCATCCTCCCTACACAGCACGATTTATCTTTGCCTGGTTTTGATTGCAAATGGAATATTCACCGCGTGGGTTCTCATGTGTCTCAGGGCTCCCGGTTGCTGGCTGTGACTGTGGTTCTTCACTTTCATTGCTGTTTAGAACTCTGCTGTCTGTTTACCCACCCTGTTGATGTGAGTGGTTTACTGTGGACACTTTTTTCACAGCCTTGGTCATCTACAATTTCCTGAGCCTGTGCTATGAATACCTCGGGGGAGAAAGTTCCATTATGTCAGAGATCAGAGGGAAGCCCATTGAGTGAGTAGGAAACCCCCTGGCGCCTCCCGCACCAGCCCACCCCTTTCCTGGGCCTGGTGTTCTTTGAGCTGCCCTGGTGGCAGCTGGACACACAGACCTTTTCTGCCCTTGACTTTGACCTGCTGTGCCTTTCCTGAACTTCCCGAGCAAGGCCATTCATTGGGACTCTTGGAAGGGCCTCTCCGGCTCTTTCTCCTTCTCTCGCTTCCCATCCTTTCCTGTTCGCCTGTTTCTCCCTCTTACAGTTTTTACATTCTTTTCAGTTTGGTTGGTTACCCCCAAGGCCCATGCAGCCCTGCTCCCTCAGGCTTTGCACAGCTGCAGACACTCTCCCTGTGCTTGACCTTGGCTTCAAAGGCTGCCTGGGACCTCTGCCCCACCCTCACCCCACCCTGCTCCACCCTGGCTTGTCTTGATGTGAGGGGGGGGGCTCCCCCAGTTCCACCTTTCCTGAGTCCTAACTCTGCTCACCATCCCCTCTCTGCTGCCTCTTCCAGGTCCAGCTGTATGTATGGCACATGCTGCCTCTGGGGAAAGACATACTCCATCGGATTCCTGCGGTTCTGCAAGCAGGTGTGTGTTCCCAGCAACTGCCCGGGCCAAGAGTTGCAGGCTGGGGACCAGGAGCCAGGGTCTGTGTCTTGGAGCAGCAGCTGCAGGGGCCGTGCTGCGCCTGGTTGACAGAGTGGCATAGGCAGGCATAAGGCCCGGAGGACCCTGCTGTAGGCTACCCTGGCTGCCCTGGGCCCCACCTGTGGAGCGCCCTTTTCCTGTGAGGCACCCCAGGCCCCAGCACCCACTCCCCAAGCGGTTAATGATGTCCCTGCATTAGCAGGGTTTGCTCATAGGGGCAGCGACAGGTGTCCTGGGAGTGTGATGCAGCCTTGGGCAAGAAGTGGTCCCAGACTCCTGCCCGTTTTGACCAAGTCTTGGTGTGTGTGAGAATCGGGGAACTGCACGAGGGTTCTAGAATCTCAGTTTGGAAACTTCTCATCAGCTGGAGCTAGAAGGAAGGAGGGTAGGGTGTCTACATTAAAGATACATGACCAAACAGGCCTGCGCTGTCTCTGGCCTGTTCCCCGTTTCCCAGTTGGCAGCCCTACAGTCGGTTTGCTCAGCACACCCTGTGGTCTGCAGTCGTCTGGGGAGAGGCCGTGCGGTGCTGTGGTTACGTGCATGGGCCTGGGTGTCTGACCATCTGAGTTTGGTTTCTCGCGTCTCCTCTGACTAGTGACCTTGGATAAGTTCCTGAACGTCTCTGAGCCTTAGTTTCTTCTGTACCATGGACATAATGATACTTATCTAAGCGATGGTTTAAGGAACAGGTGAGGTAGTGGATGGAGAGTGGTAGCACGGTGCTGGCACGAAGCCCACTGTTTCTTGTTCGGGGAGGGAGAGTCAGGTGTCACGTCCAGCCAGCACAACCTTGGCTTAGTCTCCTCTGGGGCTCCTGTCAGCCCGCCACCATCTCCGAGAGTAGTCACGAGGGGAAATGAAACCCACAGCCCATCACTGGCCAGCCGGAGGTCCTGGCTTTCTGCTCCTTCTGTGCAGGGCCACTGCCCGCCCCATAGGCACACCCACAAAGCATCTACCTGGACGTGCCAGGTCTCCAGGACTGATTCCACATCTTCCTTCCCTAGGGTGCTTCTAAATTCAAAGCCTCCCCACTGGACCTGCAGGGAAAGAGTTAACACCATCCTGGCTTCAGGGTGGGGCCTTTCAGAGCCATTGTTTACCAGTGGGTTTGGCTGGGCCTCTCTGTGACTCACTGCCTTCTTTGATGATTATGTTGTGTACAAAGTTTTGATCCCATGATGCCTAGCTCCAGTTGCCTCCTTGTAAATCATTCCCAGCCCTGTGGGCTCGGATGTTCCGCTCTTGTTCCTGGAGGTGGCAGGGAGAGGTAGTGAAAGGAATGAGAACGAAAGAAACCTGTGCACACCTTTCCCATGGTGGAGCGCGAAGGGCAGCTTTGTCCCAGAGGCAAAGGATCTGAACCTCCTGGACAGTGTGTCACCTCTGTCACTTCCGCTTCTCTGTGCCTCAGTTACCTCGTCTGTAACGGGGTGAGGCGGTTGTGAGCACCACGTGGGCTGACCCAGGACCGCACCAGCCTGTGGCCAGGCCCGTACCTCGGTGCAAATGGCTGCTCCTCGCTTTTCGTCAGTAGGTGCCTGTCCCACCTCCTCTAGATGGGAAGGTCGGGCCAGGGAAGTTTTGTGGGGTGTGCTGAGGGCAGCATCCCACCTCTAGCCCTGAGGCAGGCGCTACTGGCCACAGCCCCACAGCGCAGGTCACCAGGGGTCCCCTGCAGACCTCGCCCCTAGTCTCCAGGCTACATTCTCTGCCCCAGGGTCCTTGCTCTGTTTGGAGCCACTCTAGCTTAGCCTTTCCAGCTACTCCCACCTCCCAGAAGGGGCCTTGTCGCTTAGATTTCCTTGATTTCAAGAGAGTGGTGATTCTGGTTGTGTTGTGGGCACTGAGCACACCCCTTGGCTTACTGCAGCCTCTGTAGGGCTTATGAAAGCCTGGCTAACGAATTCTTTCAGTGGCTGAGCAGGCCGGCCGAGGCCTTGAGTGCACAGAGGCGGGAGACCGCCGGGACTCGGTGCTGTCTGGTTCTTCATCCATTTCAGCTTCCCTGGGCCTCAGTTACCTCGTCTGTAACGTGGAGGTGAGGCTACGAACTTCCGCAGCCGTTAGCTGGCGAGGCCAGAGTTCAAACTCAGCTGTCAGGACTCCAGACCCTTGCTATTATGGGCTGCTTCCTTTTTCGTGTTCCTGTAAGGCATCTCCGTCCCCAGTAAGACACAGCTCGACGTACGCTCTGGACTCAGGCCCAGGGCATGGGGCAAGGAGCCAGACCCGGGTTAGACGAGGCTGGTGAGAGGAGGCCGTCGCCCAGCCCTGCTACCCGTGTGGTCGGCCCCTTGATCAGGGCCCTCACTTTGCCCGTCTCCCCGGCCACCTACCCGCTGCTGCCCATCAGCAGCACTCACCCTTGCACTTGTCCACTCGGCCTCTGGGCCCCGGGTTGAGCTGCTCCCTCTGCCTGTCCCATCTCTCTGGCATGTTCCTATTGGTCCCTTCTCCAGTGGCATCTTTTGTTTCCTGGTCTCCACTCCTCCATCAGATGTCCTTTCTTCACACCCTTGTCTTCTCACATAGCTGAGTTACACTGTCATCGAGTCACATATTCTGCCTCCTCCTCCAGACAGCATTCCCCTCGGCGAGGACACCGGGGTCCCTCCGCTCCGCCCCACTCCCATCTCCTGACGTCCAGCAGGTCCACCTGGCCAGAGACGGTGCTGGGTACATGGTTTCTGTGCTCACCCCGACTCTCGGCCTTCTCCCCCCACAGGCCACCCTGCAGTTCTGTGTGGTGAAGCCGCTCATGGCTGTCAGCACCGTGGTTCTCCAGGCCTTCGACAAGTACCGGGACGGTGACTTTGAGTAAGCAGTGGGTCTCCCCAGGGACATGTGGGGAGCAGTGTCGGTGCTGGGGTAGGTGGCCCTGCCCGGAGGGGAGAGGGTGGCCGCAGACTGGCCACACAGCTACACCCAGGACCTTCCTCTGAGTGGAGGCCAAGCATGGCCCGGCCTTCCTCACGCCTGCCCGCACCCCGGAGCTGCAAGGCCCAAGCCTGGCAGCAGCAGCCATTACACTCGGCCCCGCTTCTGGCACAGGAGCGAGCTGTCAGCATCCATCACCCTCACGTACAGGCTGCAGAGTGGTGCCCTGGGGGTGGGCCCAGAAGGAACAGTGACCGTTCCCTAGATAGGGAGCAAGAGAGTCGGAGTCCTGAGTCCTTGGGTAGAAAATCTCTCCTGTGTAATCTTGTCTCCTGTGTAAACATCTCATGTTGAGGGTTAGTGAAAGCGACCACATGGCCAGGAGGTGGCAGGCACTTAACACACTCCACCAATACTCTGCACAGGGGCTCAGAGTGGGACGTGACGGGGCTCAAGGGAAAAGAGCAAAGCTGAGCGCCTAGTCACTCTGACACCTGTCACCTGACCATCAGGCTGAACTCCCCACCCCAGGCCACACTGGCTTCCACGCCCGTGTCCTCCACCATGACCAGGACACCAGAGCTGCAGGCTGGCATCTTAGACACACCCGTGAGCAAAGCAGAGGCAGCAGGGCTGGCCTGCACTGTGGGCACACACCCTCACTCCCCACTCATGTTTTGATCACCTCTCTGTGTGGCTTGTGAGCACTGCTTGGGGAGCACTGCTGACAGCCATGGGAATTGGCACGGGGCAGGACAGGATGGGGAAAGGCCCCTTGTCCCTGGGAAGGGTCTGTCCAAGCCAGAACGTTGCTCCGTTCCTGCAGCGTCGCCAGCGGCTACCTCTACGTGACCATCATCTACAACGTCTCTGTCAGCCTGGCCCTCTACGCCCTCTTCCTCTTCTACTTCGCCACGCGGGAGCTGCTTAGCCCCTATAGCCCCGTCCTCAAGTTCTTCATGGTCAAGTCTGTCATCTTCCTGTCCTTCTGGCAAGGTGAACCTCCTCCCAGCCCCTGAGATAGCCACCCTGTCCCCTAAGCCTCACCCCTCTGCTCCTGTTTGCCATCCCCGGTGCCCTTGGGACCCAGGCTGTGGGGCTGTCCCTGGGTGGAGTGCATGGAAGAAGAGGGACTACGAAGGGGGTCCAGTCTGGGCCAGACACCCACACCTCCCCTTCCAGGCATGCTCCTGGCCATCCTGGAGAAGTGCGGGGCCATCCCCAAGATCCGTTCGGCCCGCGTGTCGGTGGGTGAGGGCACCGTGGCTGCCGGCTACCAGGACTTCATCATCTGCGTGGAGATGTTCTTCGCAGCCCTGGCCCTACGGCACGCCTTCACCTACAAGGTCTATGCCGACAAGAGGCTGGACGAGCAAGGTATGTGCCAGGGTCTTGGAGAAGACTCCAGCAGGAGCAGCACGCCCAGCCCCTCCCAGCGCCCCTCCCGCCGCCCAGGGTCCTACAGGAGTGGAAGGGTCAGGGATCCCAGTTTACATGTGGGAAAGAGGCCACAGAGGTGGGCTCCCCCGGCCCTGTCACAAGGTGGGGGTGTGTCCTGGAAGCTAGGCATGCTTGTCTCTTGCAGCAGGTCTGGAGTATGGAGACCCCCAAGACGATATGGCACAGTATCCCCATGGGAAGGTCAGGGCCCAGGTTCTAGAATAGACAAGTTCCTAAGGGTTCCTGACCTCAAACAGTTATATCTTACCCTGCAATTCTCGTGTCTTTAAAGTTGTTTTTTTTTTAACCTGATTACTTCTCAGAAACAGACACGGATGGTAATAGCTTTTAACAGCTTCCCTTTATACCTGCTGATCTGCCTCTGTTAGAACAGTTATACATGAGAACGCCCCAAGTCTTAAAAGTCCTGTGTCTGGGCCCCACCCTCATAGATTCTGCAATAATTGGTCTGGGCTTGGGCCTGGCAGGGTGTGCTTTCAGAGCTCCCCGGGGTTGGGGGTGGGGGCTGCCTCTGGCTGCTGCTGGCAGGGAGGGGATATCTGAGGGGGACAGGAAGAGGAGGCTGGGGATGCCTGAAATGACAGGAGGCAGGAGGGCTTAGGAGGGGAACCCTCCTGGTCTTAACACATCCACGCAGGAGCGCAGCCGCTGCCAGCTCCCTTCGCACGTGGCTGGAGGCTGGATCTCACTCCCCTGGCACCTGCCATAGGCCCCCCAGAACTGTGAACTGAGCAGAGTATAGGGGCACCATGTGTCAGTGGGCGAGGGCACCGAGGGACTCCTCGACCCCCACCACCACTGCCACGTTCTTTCCCTGTTTGGGAGGAGGCCTTGAAATGCCTCTGTGGCTGCTGGAGGCATGGGCTGAGTTGTACTCGGGGCCTCTTCACTAAGCGCCCGACGGTGTTCTCCAAACACACTTGCTGGGGGCTGTAGGCACTTCTTCCATTTTTGACGGCACACCTACTCAGTGCCAGGCACTGCTGGCCACGGCTCACCACTGCCAGCTGGTGTCCCCCATGCTTCCCACGAGGCCCCCTGGAAGGATCCAGTGAACACCTGATGTTGAGGACGATATCCCTTGGATCTGGTGGTGACAGACCCTGTGCCCTTGGGACAATCACTTTTGTACCTGGAGCCTGGGAGGGTTTAAAATGGTTTAAGGAAACATTTCTGCACATGGTGGCCCTGCAGAGGCTTTCAGCAGACGCCTGGGCTGTCTTCCCGCCCACGGCCCTCCAGACACGTCCACCCCCGGCTGTACAGCTCTAGCAGGGACCCCAGTCCAGCCAGCACAAGCTGCTGCTTCTTGCCCGCTCTGTGCTGGTCCTGGCCGGTCATGTACCCACTAACCATGACACCCAGCCCCTCTCAGCGCTCCAGTCAGGTGTGGGTACAGAGCTGGCTCTCCGGTGTGATCACAAGAAACCCTCAAAGCCCCACCCCAGCCTCGATTTCCTGTCTGTGAAGTGTTGTAGAGCACCACGCACAGGCTTAGCAATTCCAGTCAAACCTAAAGACAAATGGGGGTGGGGGTCCTGACTTAGAGGCAGAGGAAGAACTCCGACCGTTGTCCTGGGTGTCTGCTGTTGGTCCTCCACCAAAGACAGTGGGAACGCCACAGGAAGTCATCTGTAGGTAGATGTTCCACCCGGGCCCTGAGGGGCAGCTAGGGATGCCGGGGCGGGTGGGCCGGTAGGGCCGGTGGTGGGGAGTTGTGGGGGTGGCAGGGCGCGTGGTGTGTGCTGGCCTCGGTGGTGGGCACGTGGTGTTCACTCAGCTGTCTCTTGTCTTCTCTATTTCTCCTGCTTCTCTCCCTCTCCCCCTGCCCTGCTTTTGCCCTGGGTTTGGCTGCGGGCAGTGCCAACATATGGCCCTTACGGTAGGTTTTGCTCTCGGTCTGCACGTCTGTCCTGCACATCAGTCCTGGTCACGGTAACCGGCATGCCTCTCTCCCTAGCTCCTTCTCTGTGTCCCTCTCTCCTCCCCCATGGACACCCCTGGGTGGTAGAGCTCAGAGCACCTGCCCGCCAAGGGCTGCCCTCCAAAGAGCTGGCCTGCTTGTGTCCTGGTCTGTCTTTGTTCTGGAATATTTCCCGCTTGGTTCTGGGGCATAGCTCTTGTTAATGGGAAACCAGGGGCAAGTAGTCTGTTCCGTACCTCGGAGGATGGGAAGGTGGAAAGAGCAGGCACGTTTGAATCTGAAGACCTGGGTGCGAGCCGGGCTCATCCCTCACCTCTCGGTTTTGTGGCCTGAGCCCATGGGGAGGGTTCATCAGAGAGGGAATTAGGAGGAAGCTCATCTTGGCAGGTGGCGCCCGCTCTCAGAGCAGGGCCCGTGAAGGTGTCGGCTCCACTGGGTCCACGCCCCTGCAGCTGTCCTGATGGAGTGGGGTCCCTGGGCCATGCCCCCAGGAGAGGGGACAGGGCTAGCACCCCTGGCTCCCAGGCCCCCTTCCTCAACACTCCCCGTCTTCAGTCTATGCCCAGCCTGGCCTGGCCTCCCTGGGGCATTCCAGGCTCATGGCCTGCAGGGTGCCAGTCTGCACCCCAGGCCCCCTCCCCAGTGGCTCTTACCTCTCCTCCCTTCGGGGGTGCTCTCTGCTCTGTGCCCCAGCCAGAGGAGCCGTGTCTTTGCCTGCGCCTTCTCGTGTCCAGTGCCCCGTTCTCTGTCCAGAGGGGGTGGTTGGATGACATAGCCCTGGGGTAGGGGTGCATCTCAGGACCAGGGGCCAGCTGAGCCACGTCGCCTCCCTCTGCCCAGCCCCCTCACCCCACCTCCTACCTTGCAGGCCGCTGCGCTCCCATGAAGAGCATCTCCAGCAGCCTCAAGGAGACCATGAACCCGCATGACATCGTGCAGGATGCCATCCACAACTTCTCGCCCGCCTACCAGCAGTACACACAGCAGTCCACCCTGGAGCCGGGGCCCACCTGGCGCAGTAGCGCCCACGGCCTCTCGCGTTCCCACAGCCTCAGTGGCGCTCGTGACAACGAGAAGACTCTCCTGCTTAGCTCCGACGATGAGTTCTAAGTGTGCCGCTTCGGGGGAGGCTCGGCGCCTTGGCCCAGGGCAGCTGTGCCCCTCCAGCCTTGTGTCCAGGCCAGGAGGCAGGCTGGCACAGCATTGGCATCGCCCTTTAATTTATTGGACCAGAGACACTCACATATCGCTTCCAGAGGAACAGCCAGCCGCTGTCTGCCCAGGGGACAGCCCCAGGCTCACCGACGAGCCTTCAGGAATATTTATACAAGGCCAGGTCTGCACTGCCCAGGCGAGGGGCGGAGGACGCTGGGAATGACTCCTAGGCCCAGACACTTGTGTTGTGGACCAGCAGCCACAGCCTTCTCAGCCTGTCCCCCAGGTCATTGCCCTCCCCGAGGAGACTCTCAGCCCCACCCCCAAACACCGTGCAATACAGCAACCTGGGCTCTTGCCACCTGCTCCCTCCCCTGTCGCCTCTTGTCTGATGCTAGATTAGCCTCCACCTGGGCAGGAGGGAGGAGGCAATGCAGCTCTCTGTGAACCCCCTCCTGACCCAGGCCTGCCTGGCATGCTGCAAGGATCAGAGCCAGACACCAAGAGCCACCGGTCCCACTAGGAAGGGTCCTCAGGTGCCTCTGGGCCCCTCTTCTGTTGATGTGGCCTCTCCAAGCTGGGGTCCCTGGGCCCCTGGGTGTCCTCTCTGTGGCTGCACCTCTGCCTCTCACGCCCCTTCCTCCTGGCCTGCTGAGGACAGCCAGCAGCCCACACTGCCCCTCACTTGGGGTCTTTCCTCTTGAGAGCATTTTTGGGCAGAATCCTTACTTCTTGGCTGTTCAAAGGGTCAGGGGCTCCCACCCTCCTTCCCAGGCTGAGCAATCAGAACCTCTGCTGGGTCCTGGTCTCTCTCTGGGGCTTCTCCCCCCCCATTTCAGGGGAAGAGTCAGTCTCCATGTTTCAGAGCAGCTTCCAGAGGACACAGTCCTGTGGGAGGGAGGACGGAGGGCTGGGCCATGCAGCCGGGGGCCAGGAGCGGGGAGGAGTCGGCGCAGGCTCCTCTCCGTGGCCCCTTCCCTACCAGGGCCTGGTGTCCTCCCTTGTCTGGCCCCCTAGCCCGTCTCTTCTGTGCCTTAGTCACATATGAAAGCTCCCCCTCCCTAGGCCCTCAGTCTGTCCCAGACACTCCCTGGGGACTCCCTGTTAAGCTGCTGGCACTCAGGATCCTGCAGTGCTGGGCCAGGCGCCTTGGACAGGCCTCAGGGGTGGCCAGGACCACCAGTCCCCTCCCCTTGCCCACCTCCCCACCCATATACCTGGAGCCTCCCAGGGCCGGGGCCCCCTGGCAAGCTGGGCTTACCCCGGCCACTGTCTTAGGAAGAGCCTGGAGACAGACACGATGCTTGTTCATAGTCAGAATGTCCTGTCCCCATTTGGGTTTGGGCTGCAGCAGCCTGGGTCGGGGAATAGGGTGATGGAGAAGGGCCCTGCCCTGTGGCATTGGAGCGTCACTGGAATCTTCTTCCTTTTGGCCACTCCTGGAATGAACTGTGCTGAGGGTTGGGTGCGGGGGTTACATCCCAGTCGTCTCGGTGGGCACTTGGCCCTTGTGACCAAGCCAGTTGCCTGAGGGCACAGAGGCCTGTGGTGGGGGGAGGGGTCCCAGGATCAGGGGTGGTTGTGCACCTTAATCTGGGGTACTGGAAGCCAGCTCTGGCCCCTGTCTGGTGGGCCTGGCCGGCTGGTACCAAGCTGCCCAGGAACGCAGCAGGTAGGTGCTGGCTGTCTGAGGACGACCTCGGTTCCCGCTGTTATTTCTTCACAAGTCTGATTCTCCTTCCAGGCCAAAGTATGCAGCCGAGTCCCTGCCCCTGGTCTCTGTTGCCCTGGCACTTGCCCTCTAGCTCAGGGGCAGGGAGCATCGGCCCCTGGGGAGATGGGGGCTGAGAACTCGTGCCTGACCAAGCCACCCCTCCTTCCTAGGAAGCATAACCTACCTTGTCTTTTTTCTTTTTTCTTTTTCTCCCCCGATAGAGTAGCTCTTTGTACATAAAAAATACTTGAAAAATTAATTGTATGATGTATGAGAACACAGAGTACCCTAGTTTTGTATCTCGTGTATGACTGCCATGAGTTCCAACAGAAAGTCGCTCTATTTTGGTCTCTGTGACATTTTAAATGCGTGACAGAAGTGAGCAAATAAAATGAGAAAGAAATATATATATGAGATAATATAGATTGTATTGAAATCTCTTCTGTCTATGGGTGAGGTTTTTTTCCTTCCTCTTTCCACCTCTGTGGGTGTATTGGGGGTGTTTCGTGGTGGTGGGCAGGGATTCATATTGCTAGGGACTAACATTGGGACCCAGGCCCCCACTGGACAAAGCGTCTCCCCATGGGCCAACAGGATACAGTGGTAGCCTTGGTCGCAAGGAGCCCAGCCTCCTGACCCTACAGGGCTGGTGTGGGCAGTGGGCTGATGCCCGGTTCCTGTTTTGTCAATGAGCTAGGTGGAGCCTGCCCACTGGCAGCCCCCTTACTGCAGGTGTCTCTCTGGGGGTGGAAGAGATTTCCTGGGGTCCTCATTTCTTCCAGCCTATCTTCCTGCCTCCCTGAGCCCACCCAGGGCCTGCTGGGCTGTGGTCACTGCTCACCAGGCCAGGTATCTGGCCACGCAGGGCACCTTCGCATGCCTTCTCAGGGCCTGGCCTGGAGCCTGGTTGCAGTGACATGGCACTAAGGAATGTGGCGGGGGTGGGGGAAATTCCCAGCCTCAGCTCAGTCCCTCCCGCAGTTTCCGGCTGCCTTTTCAGGCCTGAGCTCAGCATCTCAGAATCAGGGCTCAGGATGGGGAGGGGGGCCACCTGAGGGGGAGAAAGGCCTGTGGACCAAGCCAACCCATGTGGTTTGGCCCTTCCCCAACTTCCACATCCTGCACCTTCTCCCAGTCCCCCACCATCTCCATACCCATAGCCTGGCACGCGGAAACCCTCCTCACCGCAGTCCTGAGCGCTCTTGTAAACGTTTACTCTGCGTGTTCAAGCTTGCAGCCCCTCAGGTCCCCAGTGCTTTGTCATACCTATGCCCTCAGAGTATCTTCCTTGTACAGATGGGTAAACTGAGGCTGCAAGAAGCTAAATAAGGCAACTGTCACACAGCTAGAAAGAAAACGCACACTTGGATTCAAACCCCCCATTTTCCAGACCAGCACAGTCACTCCATCCTTCTCAGGGTGCCCTGGAAGCCCCAGCACACTGCGATTACAGAGCATTTGGGGCCTACGATGGGACACGGGGGTGCGTTTCAGGCCTGCAGGCTGGGACTGAGGAAGCCACTTCTGTCCCCGCCTCCCTGTGCCTTCCGGAACATGAGGAAAGTATTTTCTACTTGGCTGTAGAAAATCAGACCTCAATGTGAAAGTGCTGGAGAGATTACTCTTCAATCCGGGAATTTTCCTCTCTGGGCGGGACTGTTTACTCACCGAAGGGATGCCCAGAAAATTTAACCCTACATTTCATTGTCCTCCCGCCTTTGCCTTCCCCAGGGAGGATCCTTGGCTCCAGGCACTCAGATGGAAGGACAGATGTTTTAGTGCCACCCTTCCGGTCCCTGCCTCCACCCCACCCCCAGCCTGTGCAAGAGCTAGTGATGGTGCAGTTACTTTAGCTGCAAATTGAGGCTAACCCTCCCACCTAACAGAGGGTCTTGCCTGAGGTTGAAAACAGAACTCCACCTTAGGCCTCTTCATTTAGAACCCCCTACGTCCACCCCACCCCACCCCGCAAAAAAAATCCAGCTCAGGACATACACTTCTTCACTGTGGAAAAAGAGAACTTGACTTTATTCAGAAAGTCTACAAAATACAGAAGGAGGATAACTCGCTTACTGTAAGTCAGAAAATAAATAAATTCTGGGGGCCGGACAATTTTTTATAAAACATTTTGTGGTGGTTGTTGCCATCCGGCTTTCCCTAAATATAAGATAAAATGTGACTTATTTGCAGATATAAAATATAAAGTCCAGCTCAGGGCCATAGCTACTTTTCCCAGGGAGTGGGCGCTAGAGCTCTGGCTGGGGATAATAACTTAGATTCGTGCAATAAATAGACAGCGGGGAGGGCAGCTGTATACGGTGTGGACGGAGAGGTGCGTCTGGGCTTCCCAGGAGAACAGGCGACAATCAGGGGCAGTGGTCAGCCCCCACCCCACAGTGGACAGTCACGGGGGTACAGATGGCACCCTTCCCGTTTAAGGACCCGCACACCAGGCTGCAGGATTGCAGGATCCGTCTTCTTCCCACCTGCCACATCGGTCGCTTCCTTGGTCCCCTCTCTCTTTGGCTGGCCAGCTCCTTCCCTCTCTTCCACCTGAATCACCTTCTCTCTCCCTCTACTTACCCCCCTGACTCACAGAGAGCCGTCTCCCAAGCCAGGGAGGCCCTTCCACCCTTTTTCAGTCCCTGTCCACTGTCCCCCTGACACCATGCCTGGGATTTCAGGGCAGCAGTGGGAAGACGCGGCTTTTAGTTCCAGCTCAACCACTAAGGGTCTGTGGCCTTGGGCACTGTCTCACTCATCCATTGGAGGCCTGTCCGCCCCCACCTCCCCCATATCCCCACCCCAAGTGGGCGTCACTAGGTGATTTCTAACGACTCTCCCAGCTTTGGAAGGCCAGTCACCTTCAGGCACTAAAGCAGAGGTATGAGCATCAGCTTCCCATGGGGCAGCCCCACAAGACACATCCAGGGCCAAACCTAGTCCTGAATTCCAGGAGGGTGGGGAGGGGCCACTGGCACAATCTGAGCAGTTTACAAAATGAGGGGTGGCTCTCTTGTCCTCTATGGCTCTTCTCTGATCCACTCTGTATCCCATCCAATCTAGGAAGGCTGACCTTTCAGCCAAGGGAGACTCCAGACCTCTACCCCACCCTACCTCCTATCTCACCAAACTTGCCCCTTCCCAGGGTCATTAGGTCCCAGTTTCCGGGTCCCACGAGGAAGACAGGCTCTGGCGAGAGAACGTGTGATCACCACTGGGGTTGGCGGCTGCAGAGAAATGGCATCTGGGGACAGAGGTGGCGCTTAGGCACTTTGGGAAGGGAGCTGGGGTCGGAGGGGCGTGGTTTTGAGAATGGGGCACGGTCGTTGGGCGGTGGGCACTAGGAGCAGGCGGCGGGGGCGGGGCCGCGGGATGCGGCGACAGAGCGCGCGAAGCCCTNGAGGTGGCGCTTAGGCACTTTGGGAAGGGAGCTGGGGTCGGAGGGGCGTGGTTTTGAGAATGGGGCACGGTCGTTGGGCGGTGGGCACTAGGAGCCCACGAGTGCGGCGGGCCCGCGGGATGCGGCGACAGAGCGCGCGAAGCCCTGCAGCGCCTCGCACTTGCCGCGCAGCGCGTCGAGCTCCAGGCGCATGGCGGCGTTCTCGCGCGCCAGCTTGTCCACCTCGCGCTCCAGCTCCGACTTCTGCTTCTGCAGCTCCTCCTTCTGGCACACGCGCTTCACGCGACAGCTGGCTGCATAGCCACGATTCTTGAGCGTGCGGCGCCGCTGCTTGAGCCGCGTCACCTCCTCGGCCGAGAGCCCGCGCAGGTGCCGGTTCAGCTCGCGCACTGACAGCCCCATCAGAGCCTCGTCCGACAGGTGCGGAGTGTTCTCACTCAGCTCGCGCTTGATCTGCGGGCAGCACAGTGAACGAACGCATGGGGCAACTGAGGCCCAGGGTCGCATCCTTGCCTGTGGGCCCTGAGCCTTGGGCCTGGCACTCAGCAGGTGATGGCGACGACTCGCCCTCCACCCCTAGTCCTTCCCCTTCACCACCATAATCACTGAGGTGGTGGCTGGAGTTGCTGCAAGTCCCCGAAGTGGGGCAGGAATCCCTAAGAGGAAACCAGGCCAAGCCGGGATCGGAACACACAAGGAGCCACCCCAGGGCTCGGCCCGAATTCTAACCCAGCGACCAGGCAAGGACTCAGCCAAAGAAACCCAGGAAAGCACCTTTGAAGTCCTGCAACCTAGTGGGCATTGTCCTAATGGGGAAGCAGATCCGGAGAAGAAAGCGACCTGCCCACGGGGTACACAGCCCCGAGCTTCTCGGGGCCTCGTGAGGCCCGGTGCCTGCCGAGCAGCTCTGGGGGATTCCAGGTACTGAAGGGGAAGTGGGATGGGAAGCTCAGCCTGGGCAGGAGGGAGGGAGGGGAAGGACTGGGGGCAACAGGGGCTGCCTCCTCACCTTCAGAGCTTTGCTGGATAAGGGATCCACAGACATGTTTCCAGAAGGTGTCCTCTGGGCTGAGACCTACGGGAGACAGGAGGCCACGGTCACTTTTTTTCCCATGTAGAATAAAATCCAAACTCACCACCTTGGCATTCAAGGCCCCTGCTGTCTTGGAACTCATCTCATACTTTTCTCAGCCCCAGTGGTCCAGCCCCAGTGGCCTCTTGGAATGGCTCGTTTCAGCCTTAGGGCCTTTGCACTTGCTGTTCTCTTCCCTTTCATCTCCCCACAGTGACTCTTCATCAGTTAGGTCTTTGTTCAATTACATCTCTTCAGAGAGGTCTAACTGTCCCGCTGAAACACCCCCTTGTGTCATGTCACATAACCCCATTTACTTACCCTCTGCAATTATTTTATGTTTGATGACTTGTTTATGGTCTACCTCTCCCTCCCAGCCCTCCTCCACCAAAATGTACATCCATGAGGATCAAGGCCTTGCCTGTCCTACCACTGCATGAATATGCCTAAATCAGTGCCTGGCACATAGTAGGTGCTCAATAAGTATGTACCAAATGAATGGACCCCCCTCTTACCCATGGGGCCCAGACATGTGTATTTTATTAAAAAATAAAAATGTTTCATTAAAGTACAACCTACATACAGAAAAGTACATAGAACACATGTGCACTAGTCAGTGACTTTTCACTAGATCCAACCAGCACCCCATCAATATACAATATAACCAGTACCCTCCTTTCCCCCTGCCCAGGCCTCCTTCATCCAGACCCTTGTTTTGGAAAAGCTTCCCCAACCTGGGGGCCACCTAGAGCAAATTCAGCACTGCCCTGGGCAGACAGGATAGCTATACCTAGACTGATGAGGGACCCTTTGGCCCTCACAGCCTCCCCTGAAAGCCCCATGTTCACTCAGCAAACATTTACTGAGCATCTACTATTTGCCAGACAAGTGCTTGGCACTGGAAAGACATGGAGAGTACATTCTAGGGGCCAATGGTCATTGCTCTGGGCCGGTAAAGGGACTGTCTCTCAAAGCCCCCTTTGCAGCAGTCCTCTGTCCACAGGCTCTCTCTTCTTCTCCCCCATCCATTCTTAGGCTGTTTCCTCCTCTGATAATCCCCATGGAGACGTGACAGTGGTGAGGAGCAAAGGAGAACGGGGCGGGAGGGTGGTCTGAGACACAGCATCCCGTCAGTTCTCACCAGCAATACCCAGTTTGATAGGGCAAAGCAGGGGGTGAAGCCTGGGTCCAGACCCTGGCTCCTTGAGTTGTCTGTGGGGCTGGCCTCTGACCCATTCTGGGCCCCAGGTGTCTCTCAGAGACACTGTGGAGAAATGGAGAGTGTATGGACTTTGGCACCAGACACACTGAGGCCTTTCAGAGGTCGTCCCACTCACTAGCTGTGGGATTCTGGCACCTGAATTAACCTCTCTGTGCCTCAGTTTCCCCATGGGTGATAGAGGGTGGCTGTTTAAGTTAGATCATGATATTCCTCTCTCATGACCCTTCCATGGCTTCCGTCTCATCCGGGTTACAGCCAAAGTCATCACAATGGCTCACAAGGCACTGCATGCTGTGGCCTCAGCAAACGCCCCTCTGACTTTAGCACCTCCTTCGCTCCCTTCCCTCACTCTGCTCCAGCCACAGCCGCCTCCTTACTCTTCCTCACCTCCTGCCCCCCCCCACACACACACGCAGTCCTCCCCAGGGCCTTTGCACTGGTTGTTCCCTCTGTCTGGCATCCTCTTCCCCTTCATAGCCACAAAGTTTGCTTCCTCACTTCCTTCAGATCTCGCTTCAAATCTCGCATTCTCACTCATTTTAGAATTCCTAACCCCTGATTCTCTCTCTTACATTCTCTGTCTCCCTTTCCTACCTCACGTTTCTCTGTAGCACTTCTCACTATATATAATTATTACCCACATATATTTTACTTATTTGTTGAGTGTCTATCTCCCCACCAGAGTGCCAGCTCACAACAGCAGAGAAATTGTCTTGTCCACTGCTTACCCCCAGTGCTTAGAGCAGCGCCTGGCACATACTAGAAGCTGGTGTAATGGTTATTGGAGACTCAGGGTGACTCAGGCCAAGGTGGGGACAGTCCAGGGCTTCTTAGAAATCCCCTAGCTCTTGCAGCCCACACAGCCAAGGGGTCTGACACGCCAGACGGAAGCAAGGAGTAGAACAGGAAAGGGAAGTTGGCACTTTGAGAGATCCCCAGTAGAAGCGGCCACCCGGCCCTTGGGCTGGGAGGGTCTTCAGAGCCACCCAGCCTTCTTGTGGTGTAGCTGGGGTGAAATTGAGGCCCAGGGAGTCCCAAGTCAGGACCCTGACCTTTCACAGACACCGCCTGGAGGCCCTCATACACCACCTCCACCAATCCTGCCCTGCAATACTGGCCTCTTCAATGGCCACCTTCCCCCAACACACACAGCCCTAGGGAGGTCCCAGCATGTCGGCTCATCTCCACACAGCGACCAGAGGGTCTTTCCACCGTGTGAACCTGACCATGTCATCACCCAGATGCAGACCTTCCATGGCTCCCTACTATCCTGGGGTCAGAGTCCAGGCCCACCGTGTGGCTCCCAGGCTCACTGCCACCACTGCCCACCTCCGTTCTGCATTCCAGCCGCGTGGAATTCTTTCACTTCCTCTCACCCCACGCTCTCTTGCCTCCGGGCTGCCCCACACCCTGTGACACTTGTCTCCCTACTTTATCTGGCAGACTCCTCCTCGTCCTCTGCCCCGGGTGTAGACATCTCGTCCTCCAGAAAGCCCTCCCTGACCCCTTGGACTTGTTAGGCACCGCCCACCCCAGCTCTTCTCCCCTGCACTGTAATGGTCCGTTTCCTTGTCTGCCCACCAAACAGGGAGGTCCACAGACAGGAACCAGGCTGAGTCAGCTCTGGGTGCTGAGGCTGCCAGCACGGGGCATGGCAGGGAACAGGGCCCGGTGAGGTGTGGATGGGTGCAGTCTCTGACACTGTCCGTCACCCAGCTTGTCAGTGTCTGAAACAAGTACCAAGCCCAAGCCCAGCTGAATATCATCGAGAGAAAAACCTTCTAGCCCTATCTCCAGTTCTTCCTGCTTTCCATCTGCCTCCTTGCCTCCGCATGGCAGGGTTGGCACACAGACGCCAGGAGGAGGGGAAGGGAGCAGGAGGGTTCTGTGCTCATGACACTTGGCCCCGAGGCAGGCCATGGGAAACAAGGAAAGGAGCACTGGATAAAGAGTCAAGCCCAGGTTTTCTCCAGGCTGTGTGACCTTGGGCAAGCCAGTCCACCCCTCTGGGTCTCCATTTTCCCATCTTGTGGGAAATACTTGCTCACAGAGTTGGTGGAGCCATCGGTAGCCGTCAGTGAGCACCTGGAAGGTTATGAGAATAGCTGTCTGTCCAGGAGGGGTCAGGCTATCAGCATCTCCGGGCCTGCCGGCCTGCCAGGGTCACACAGGAAAGGCCCCTGCCTCCTCACTTTACCCAAGGGGAGGGGAAGATCTAGAAAGGGGCATCTCTTGCCTGAAGTCAGGTGAGTGACTGCCTTTCCCTTCCCCCAAATCGGGAGGGATTCTGAACACCTGTAAAGGCCCCAGGACTGAATCCTGGTCCCTTTCACCCTGTTATCATCCTGATTCTCCCAACAACCCTGTGAAGTAATGCCCAGAGAGGTCAATAGAGTAGTCCAGGGTCACACAGCTAACAAGGGGTGGAGCTCAGGACCGAGGCCACACTGAGCCACGCACCTCGTCCTAGTGTGGACCTCACAGGGCACCCTCTCTGTGTTTCCCCACCTCTGTGAAGAGGAGGCTGGACTTGTCAGTCCCCAAGGCCACCCAGCTCTGATGTGCCAAGAATTGTGTTGGGTCTGCTAGGGATATGCAAATGACATACAGATAGCCAGGCCCCCTTGCCAGCTGTTCAGAGAGTTGGATGTTGTTAGGTGATGCCCAGGCAGTCTGGGCTACACAGAGAGACCTGATGGGAGAGGGGAAGCCTCGTCCCACATCGTTAACTGAAAGCCTGTTGGGTGCTGGGTACTGAGCACTGGGTGCTACGGCTGATGCAGAACCTTAGAGGCCGGGCCTGGCCCCTCAGACAAGTCATTTTCCCTCTCTGGACCTTGGTTTCCTCACTTGTTAGTGGGATCAATTATTATAGCATTAATGTGTAAAATACACAGAGACTTAGACAAGATCAGAAATGGCAAATGGTTGGCCTGTGTCACCATCATCCTTCCCGCCACTCAACACAGACATCACTAATCAACCCCAATACTTTTTCCCAACTGAGGTTGGACACAGCCCCCAAATCTTTCTCAACACAGCGCTGTTTTACACTGAGCTTGGACACAACCTCAGAATCCTTCTCAACACAGTCCTCCAAAGTAAGCCCAAGAGGTGGAAACTGTTGGCTAGCCCCTGTTCTATATAATGGCTGAAGGTCCCACCCACTCGGCTGGCTGTGATTCTAAGTACTTTCAGCCCTAGGGAGGCTCTGAACCTGTTCTCTCCTTTCCTCCTTCTCCTCTTCTAGCCTCAGCCCCCTTAACTACATCCTGGATGCCAGCTGAGGCACCCATGTCTGCCCAGGAATGCCCTAGCTCAGCAAAGTCAGGCAATCACAGAGGGAAAGTCTCAAGAAGGGGGAACTTTCTGATAACCTCAGACTTTCAGCCTCCAACCCTAGGCCAGGGGCTGCCAGGCTGGAAGCCAAGGGTCTGGGCCCCCCCACCCCCCACCCCAGCAGGCTGCCTCGGCCAGTCTGGTTAGACCTCGGGCCTGAGACAGTAGCTGATCTAACCTTCTTGTCACTGAGACAACCGAGCAGCTGTTTGGTGGCAGTGGTGGGCTGGAACCCAGGAGTCCTGACTCCCAGGTCAGGGCTCTTTCTTCAGTGCCAGCCAGCACACTGTCCCCACAACACACCCCTGCTTCTTCCCTTTGAGGCCAGCAGAGCGACCTCCAGGGTCTATAGGTTCCTAACATTCTTTTGGAGGCATGAAGAATGAACTTACTCTTGGGGTATTGATTGACAGCTGCCTTGCCCAGTCCGAAGCCACAAACC